AAAAAATTATGAGAGACGTTTTTGATAGGGTAGAAAAGGATGGTAAACTTTCAGCCAAATCAAAAGGGGTCAGGGTCAAAAGTGGTCGATTTGGCGTGGAATGCCCCATATAAATTTTTTTTTTTTAATTTAAATTTTATTGAATTTTATTTTGATATTTTTGTAAATTTCAAATTTTTTTGAAAAATTTAGCGTTGAAACTTGTTTTAGACAAATAAAAATTTAAATATAAATTCTATCCGAATTTAATCCCGATTTTTTTTGCACTACACTGCACTACAGCTGCTTTTAGTTTATTCAGAAATGCATCCACAGTAACGCAGATTCTTAATTTTTTAAATATTTTTTACTAGCTTAGATAGTAGTTATTATTATTACTGATGGTAACTGTAACCATCAGGTTATATTAGGACTTACGATTTTGATAATAGTAGTAACTAATTAAAATAATAACAGTTATTATTACTGATTACCATCATAATAGTAGTAGTTACCATCAGGATGGTAAATACTACAATTCAGATAGTTTACTTAATTATTTAAATAATATTTACTACTATTATTGAATTCAGTTAATAGATTTTAACATAACTAGATAGTAAACTCTACTATAAAATTTTCTCCGTGTATAAAAACTTATTTTATCATACAAATATATTGGCCACAAAATTTTGATTATTCTCTTAATAATATTTCAAGTATCACATAAAAAACTGTTGATTAATTGTCAACTTAAATTCAACAAAATATTACTCAAAAAATTTTTGTGCTGCTTGGGATATATAGATTCATCATATAAATGCACATCTTGAAGGTACATATAATACTCTCGATGTGTATATTTACTCACTACAGTGCGAACTTGGACAGTAGCTCACTATTCAGTCAGTATTCGATCGTTCGACTTGAAACGTCAATTCTATTCGTCACTTATATTTCTTAAAAATAAAATTTACTCATTATATATTAATGTGTAATTATAAAAAATTTAATGGTACTTTTGATAAATATTAGCGAGTTTAATTTTGTTATATAAATTATTTTCAAGAAACTTATTTTGCAAACCATAGATAACATTTGCGGCACAGTAAGACGATTAGTGATGTTGTTGCAGATTTAAACGTTTACATAGCGTTTATTTATTATCTTTAAAAATTTGTTCTCTGTAAGCACTTTGACTTTAATTAGTTTGTGATTATAAAATTTCGAAAGAAGCCGAATTTGAAAATATAAAAACTTATCATTTCAGAGAAGAGTATCTAATCAAAAAGTTTTTTTTTAATATTAAAAGCTATGAGTATTTGATTAGTTCAACAGTTTAAAGATATTTATATTTTTTCTGGAGAATTATAAACATGAAGAACTCCCGAGGAAACAATTGTGCGATATAAGTGGCGTGATATTTTGCAATAAATAATGTAAAAGATGAAAATAGAATAATATAATTCTCTATTAATTTGGAAAGTTTTAATTAATTAATTAATCAATTGTTTAAAGTTTTATTTTAAAATGACTAATTCGGAAGAAAATCGCCCGTTAATAAATGCCGAGTCAATTGCATCTACCAGTTCTATTCCTCGGACTTATAATTCAGTTTATGTAAGTAGTTTTATAAATTATTTAATTATTTTATAGAAATTAAATTAAGTTAGACAATTGATTGATAATAAAAAAAGAAGGGTCCCTTTGAAATAAATTCATGGAAGCCGTATTAAAAAACAGGAACGGCTTCCCAAAGAAATGGAGAACCCTACAGGGATTAAAAATAAATACTTCGTACTAATAATTTAATTTTTCCGTAAATTAATTCAAATAAAATTATCTTGTTTGTTTCTTCAATTTTCACTTGATAAAAATAAGTAAAAGTGTCAACGATAATGAGTTGCGTAATTCACAATTAATCATCTTGGAAAATAATTAGACTAATAAGTGAATTCATTTATATAGGAGAGCGCAGTTATATGCGTTTGCTGATAACGATAGTATTTATAAATTTATTGCAGTAATTAAATAATATTTAACTTTCTGCATTTCAACATGGCAGAGTTATTTAGATTTTATTTTTTAGAAAAAATAAAAAATATTTAAAAAAAAAAATAAACAAATTTTAGAAAAGATTAAAAATATTTTTTAGAAAAAATTAAAAATATTTTTTTAACAGTATGGATGCAATGGGAATCAACAGGCCGATGCACCTGATCAAAATATTCGAAGTGAGCTACAAATGGATCCAGCGGTTTCTTCGAGATCAGAAGTTGAAGTCATACTGGATTGTTCGGATAAAATTACATACACATGGAGTGATGTTAATGTCTACTGTATGCAACGAAATACTCGAGCTTGGGATCGATTTTACCGCAAGCGAAAACCCGTTGAGCAAAAACATATTTTGAAAGACGGTAATAAGATGCCTAGTTTTATAAATCAGCCTTGATAAATATTTTTATCAAGATTTTACATTTAAATTTTTTTACAAAAAATTATTATTTTTGATTTTGATTTATGAGAAAAATTATAAAAAGTTTGAAAATTGAATATTTTAGTGATTTACTTTCATTTAAAGTTCAAAAATTTTCAAATTATGATATTGTCAGTTTTTTTTCTAATTTGTCTTATTTTTATCGCTGTTTAAGAAAGAAAATATTTCAATAATCTGAAAAAATAGCAACGTCACCATTTTTTGAAAAAAAAAAAAAAAACCTGAAATTGTAAATTTTTGAACTTTAAATTAAAAAAAAATCACCATAATATTCAATTTTATACCTTTTACCATTTTTATTATAAATCTACTGTGAGGATGAAATGCAAGAGAGTCAAGAAGCACTGCTCGAAGAAGAGAGGATCGGCAGAGAGGATAATGAGATGAACGCAGATGACATGGAAGCAGAGATAAGAATGGCAGAGTTAAAGGCTGCCCTGAAAAGAATGAGAAATAAGAAGGCACCAGGGGAAGACGGGCTAGTCGCAGAATTCTACAAGGAGATGCCCGAGGAGGGAAAGCAGGAATTGTTGGAGGCGCTAAATGAGATTTGGAGGAAAGGAGATCTACCGAAAGGCTGGGAATCGGCGCACATTGCACCAATCTTCAAAGCAGGGGATCCAACCAACCCAAGGAATTACAGGCCTATTTCGCTTCTCAATGCAGGTTATAAAGTACTCACCAACATAGCTACAGCGAGGCTAGAGAAATGATGTGAAGAGAATAAAATACTCAAGGAAAGTCAGGCAGGTTTTAGAAGAAAAAGAGGTACCAGGGACCAGGTATTTGTGATAAACGCAGTCATAAATCACTGGGTAAAAGAAAAGGGACAGAAAGCTTTTATTTGCTTCGTAGATTTTGAGACAGCGTTTAACAGTGTGGATAGAAATCTACTTTTTGCAAAGGCTGAGGAAGCAGGTATTAAAGGAAGAATGCTGAAATTCATCAAGGCAGTATACAAGAGGGCCGTGAACGAAATAGTGGCCAATGGAGAAACGAAAGGGAGGTTTGAAGCATCACAAGGAGTAAGGCAGGGTTGTCCTCTAAGTCCACTGCTTTTCAACATCTTTTTGGACGACATTGACAAGGAGTTCAGCAAGAGAAACATCGGAGGAATAGCCATGGGTAAAATCAAGGTATATTTGGGGAAATACGCAGATGACATAGCAGCAATTGCCCCAGACGAAGCAAGTCTCCAGCTGATGTTAAAAGTATTAGAAAAATATGCAGCCAAAAACTTCCTGAGGGTAAACACCAAAAAGACAAAGGTGCTAGTGATCGGTGGAAAAGGCAGGAACCTCTCTGCAAATTGGAAATACGGCGAGGATCAACTAGAAGAAGTGAAAGACTTCAAATACCTGGGTTGCTGGATATCCAACAGCAACAGCTGGAAGAAGCACACTAACGAGATGGCAGCCAAGGCCAAGAAAGTACTAAACTCCACGTGGGGGCTGATTGAGAGAACAGGCAGAAACTCACTCAAAGACAGGATGTACCTTTACAACTCCCTAGTAAGATCGGGGGCTCTCTACGGAGTAGAGATTTGGGGTTGGGAAGGCAGCAAGGCAATAGAAGCAGTGTATAGCAGATACTGTAAAGCAGCGATGGGCCTAGCTAGAAACACTCCGGAATACATCTGGAGGTGTGAGGGTGGGGTTGAAAATTTAAAATATATCTGTAGAGAGAGAGCAGGCCGGTATCTTCTAGATGTGATGAGAATGGAGGAAGGCAGATGGCCAAAAGTCGTACTGAGAGAAGAATGCAGAGGAATATTGAATGGCAGGTCTTCAAAGTGGGGTAGCAGGCTGACCAAGGCCCTGGAAGAAATGTGCTGCAAGGACATAATAAAGATGATATGGGATAAAGTAGAAGTGAGCCAGATAGAACAAAAATTGCAAGAGGGCTTGTTCCACCTTCAAGCCATATTGAGAGAAGAGAACAAAAAAATCATGGAGTCGTCTTATAACCCTTGGTTCAAATTCCTTAAGACCAGTACGGATACAGAACCGTATTGGTTAGACAGAAAAACCCCAAGTTGGATGAAATTAGCCTGGTGCAGAATCAGATGCGGCAACATAGGAAAGGCAGGAAAGAAGGGCTACAGGGATTGGCTATGTCAAGAAATTTGCCAACTGGTGGGTAAATTTCTAAAACTCACAAGAGATGGGAGTGACCCCTTGCCTGAAGTCCATGTTGCAGCAGCCCAACAAGTCCCGAACGAAGGTGTTTAGATGGCAGCCAAAGAAGTAGACAACCAGTGTAGAATATTTATTTTTCATAATTGCCTCACAGAGGCCATCGTAAATTCCTTTAATTTTAGCCAACAAGTGCCATAAAAGTTAGTTTGTAGAGTCTTTAATATATTTTGATTTAATATAAATTGTTCCAAAAATTTCTAAAATACCTAAGCTAGTTAAAAGTGATATTATCAATAAGACGAAATGAAATATTTAAGTAAATGTGGTGCTAGAACCAGAGCTTTAAATATTTTTTAAGATGCAGATTTAATTTTAAGAAACTGTGATGAAAAATTGTAAAAAACAGTTATTACTGTTGTACAATGCAAAATAAATATCTAATCTATAAATCTACTGTGAAGAAAAACAATTCAAAAAAATAAAATATTCAAAAAGATCAATTTTTCAATTTTTTACACTAAAAAATAGGTGGAGCCCTATTTCTGCATAATTAACAAAATTAATTTTAATCGAGAAAATAATGTATTGATTTTAATTAAAGTAGAAAAATTTTTAAATTAATCAAATTTTATATTTCGATTCAAGTTAATTTTTTTTTTCAGTGTATAATTATTAAAAATTAGAATGATTGAAGATTATTCTTTTAATGTATATATATATAAAACCTAATTAATTATAAGTATTTTTTTTTAGTATCAGGATTAGCATATCCAGGAGAATTATTAGTAATAATGGGGTCATCAGGAGCTGGAAAAACAACGCTGCTAAATGCACTTACCTTTAGATCCGGCAGAGGAATTACGGTGTCAGGAACGATGGCTGCAAACGGCCGAAGAGTGACATCAAGTGTGCTCACCTCGAGGACCGCGTACGTTCAACAAGATGATTTATTTGTCGGTACTCTGACTGTTAAAGAGCACCTTCTGTTCCAAGCCATGGTACGAATGGATAGACATATTCCCTACAGACAAAGAGTTGAAAGGGTCAATGATGTTATCTCTGAAGTAAGAGAATCAATTTTAATCTTTAACTTTTAATCTTTAATCACGTTACGAATAGTTTGCTTACATGATATATTTTCATATTTTTCATGTAAATTATAAGAGTGGATAAAAAATAATTGAAAAAAAAATTTTCTATCAGCTTGCCTTAACCAAATGCCGAAATACAATAATTGGAGTACCTGGCAGAGTAAAAGGGCTCTCGGGTGGAGAAATGAAGCGATTGTCCTTTGCATCGGAGGTCCTTACTAATCCGCCTCTGATGTTTTGCGACGAGCCGACATCAGGTCTGGATTCCTTCATGGCCCATCAAGTTGTTTCTGTTTTGAAGGCTTTGGCTGGTAACAAAAATAAATAATTTAAAGACGTTTACGCAGAAATAAAAAAAAAAATTAATTTGAATCAAGAAAAATTTACTTAATTTAAAAAGAATTTCTTAGTTTAAAAATTTTTCTACTCGAATCAAGGGTATAAAGTTCTTCAAAACCATTTACTTGGTTCAAATTAATTTTTTTTTCTGTATGGGTGATTCTCTGTAAGAATGTTTTTTGCTGTCCCGGGCATTTTTTTATTAGAAAAATTGTTTTTTTTGTTACTGAAAAAAATTTGTTACGAAAGTAAAAAAGATTTCTACACGGAAAAAAGTAATCTGTAATATTCACTCGGATTCCGGTTAATTTTTATAGTTTCAAACAGTAAAGCAGACATCGGGGTGGCAAAAATATAAATATTACAGAACTTAATGTAGAAAGTATAAAAAAGTCACAATTTATAATTTAATATCCAAAATAAGTGATTAGTAGCTGTCACAATATAGTAAATAACGACTCTTTCATCTTCAAAAATTACAGTTTCAAACAGTGAAAATTGCCGTTTTAATATATAGTCCATATTATGAGGAGAAGGGGAATTCAGATGAAAGACAAGGGGGTCTCACTCTGGGAGAATTTAACACTTGAAACAGTAAAAATTATACTTTTAAAATATACATTTTACCAGTCCAAGCAAGTCAATAATTACAGTTTGATTTTTAGCGTTGCGTTTAAAATTTACCATTTTACTTTATTTTATACTTTTTACATATCATAAGATCATTTTTAGGTACGAAATGATAAATATCAAAGTCTAAATTCTTAATTATTATACTTTAACATTTTAGACATTCACATAGCGAATATTACTGTTTGAAATAATATTTTCTTCCATGTAAACAGTAAATTGTAGCGTTTAAATGGTAAATATTATAAAGTAAATAGTAAAATCACGATTTTACTGTTTGAAATGGTAATTTTTTAGCAGTTGATCATTACTTATTAGAAATCGACTGTTATTTATTACAGTTTACTTTTTTTCGTGTATTTGGAGCATTGAAAATTAAAATGAAATAAATTTTGGTTTTTTTGCCATAAATTTGTAAACCACCGAAATAACAGTTACCTGGACTGTTCCATTCCCAAAATTAAACCTTTAAGATTAAATTTCAAGTTATTCGTCCATAATATGTAATTTTGTCCATAATAAGCTTAATTAGTTAACTAACAATCTTCTTCAATAAAAAGTACCGAAAATTAATTTGTTTCATTAAATTCATTAAACCAAAGTTTGTCCCAAGCATTTTAAGAACAGTCCCCTGCCAGAAGTTCAAAGTCAAAAAAAAAAATCCAGCGTGTTATTTTACCTTTTGTAAGGTTTATAAGGATCTAACTAGCCTTAAGTTAATAATCATAGGGCTGTTAGCGCTTCATCGCAATTTTATTTAGTGTTAAAGCACCGTTTGTGCTGGAAATATGTGTCTGGGCCACTTCAAAACTCAGTCCCCTGGCAACTAATTTTATTTATAATTTATTTATAAAATTGGATCCATAAGTCTAAATATTATTCTAATTAATGTAAATATTCATTGAGAACTTGAAAAGTTGAATGCATTGAAATAGTTTACTTGATTTTTCTCAATTTGATAAAAAAAAACAGTCCCCTGGCAAACAGTCCCCTGTCATGTTCTATGGCAAAAAATACACAAGTATCGAAAAAATAAAAATTAATTTGGCTGTTTATTTATTATGATTAAGCTGATAGTTTTGTAGCCCTTGTTAATTTTTTTTCTAAAAAAATCAAAAATAATTTGGTCGGACAATTGTGTACAGATTTAAAACGTCCTTACAGTGAATCACCCGTATAAGAATGAGAATCTACGGTCTAATTAGCAATTGGTCTTACTCTTTATTTTTTAGAGGATGATATTTTAACATTTTGATGCACCAATAGTCCAATTGTGAATTATTTGAATGATCTAAATCAAAATATTATACCTCTATTAGATACAAAATGGTTTTTTAAAGTGATAATAAATTTTTAACTAATTATTTTTTCGTACAAATGGAAGATTCATTAAAATGAAGTTAGACAATTTGCTAATTAGAATGTTGAATTGTTAAAAAAAATTATAATTATTATTATAGCGCAGGGTAAAACGATAATCGCTACTCTTCATCAACCGTCTTCCGAGCTTTTCGCTCTTTTTGACAGAATACTACTGATGGCAGAAGGCCGGGTCGCTTTTATGGGAACCACTGATCAAGCTTACACCTTTTTTAAATCGTAAATTTTGATTTACGGAAAATTAAATTATTCAGTTGATAATTTTTAAGTTTGGTAAATTTTTGATTAACCATTTTTTAGCATGGGAGCCGTTTGTCCGAGTAACTACAACCCCGCAGACTATTTTGTCCAGGTTTTAGCGGTGGTTGCAGGCCGCGAAATAGAATGCAGACACACGATAAACACAGTGTGCGACACATTCCAGCGGAGTGATAACGGAATTAAAATAGCGCTTGAAGCTGAAACTATTCAGGGCGAGTTCCAAGATTCTTTTAAGCTTGCTAAGTATCATAAAAACAACAACAATAGATCGCCTTATAAAGCTTCTTGGTGCGAACAGTTTCGAGCTGTTTTATGGCGATCATGGTTGTCTGTTATCAAAGAGCCTATTCTTATTAAAGTACGATTGCTTCAAACTCTGGTGAGTTTAATTAGAAAAATTCTGTTGAAAAATTTTCCACATTTTTATATTTTTTCCCTACAGATGGTCTCGCTCCTAATCGGAGTTATTTATTACGGTCAAAAATTGGATCAAGACGGCGTTATGAATATTAACGGAGCGCTTTTTATTTTTCTTACTAATATGACATTCCAAAATGTATTCGCCGTAATTACAGTCAGTAATTTAATTAATACTATTGTTATTTTTAAACTGAAGATAAATTTTCTACGGTTCAATTTTCAGGTTTTTTGCGCAGAACTTCCGATATTTTTAAGAGAACACCGGAACGGAATGTACAGAACAGAAGTATACTTTATTTGTAAAACATTGGCCGAAGCTCCTATTTTTATTGCTGTACCGCTGCTATTCACCTCAATCGTTTATCCGCTAATTGGATTATATCCAGGAATAGATCATTTTTTTATAACCACTGGAATTATTACTCTTGTAGCAAATGTCGCTACTTCATTTGGTGAATATTATTAATTTAATTAATTAGTAAAAATTCAACAAATGCAAAAAATATTTATTTTTTAGACCATTTTTTAAAGCAAATTTTTAGTAATTAATTTTTAGTAACTTTAAAGTTTTTGACGAAGATACAAATTTTTATCAATAGCCTTTTATATTATTAGATTTTAATTAATGATTTAACTAATTAGTAAAAATTAATGATACATAATTTAGACAACGTTTTTAATTTTTTGATTTTTTTTTTAATAATTTAATTAGTACTACAAAATATTTTTTAAAAATTGCATATGTAGTTTTTCAAATTTTTTATAGGTGAAATTTTTTTTTTATTTTTTTAGAGCAATTTTTTTAATAAAAAAATTTACTAAAATTTTTAGATGTTGGTTAACTTAATTTTCATAAAAATTAACGGGGGCGTGAAGAAATACAAAAAATATTTATTTTTTAGACCATTTTTTAAAGCAAATTTTTACTAATTAATTTTTAAAAATTTTGAAGATAAAAATTTATATCAGTAGCCTTTTACACTTATTAGATTTTAATTAATGATTTAATTAATTAGTGAAACTTCACAGAAACGTGAACAAATACGAAAAATATTTATTTTCTAGACCATTTTTTAAAGCAAATTTTTTACTACTTAATTTTTAATAACTTTAATGTTTTTTAAGAAGATAAAAATCTTGATCAGTAGCCTTTTACATTTTATACAGTAGTTTATAACCAGTATAAGATGACACAAATATTTCTTTTCATTTTCTTATCTTTTTTCATGGATAAAAATGGTATTTTATTGAGAACATACTACACGAATCTGATATTCAGAATGAGTAGGATTATATTATATTTATTCTCACTTGATAGAGTTACATGGATCATGAATATTGTATTTCTCAGAGACGTACCTGAACAAACACATACAATTGTGTGTAAACTCGATTATTTGATCGGAAATGTTATTAATTATAACTGCAAACAACAGACAAATTTCCAAATGAATTTAATTAAACAATTAATTGTACTATCAATATTTTTTTTTATACTCAGGGTATTTTATTTCGTGTGTCAGTACGAATATTTCAATGGCTTTATCAATAGGACCACCTGTAATAATTCCATTTTTACTATTTGGAGGTTTTTTCTTGAATACCGCGTAAGTTAATTTTATTTTATAATTATTAATAATTTTAATTATCAATAAAAAAATAAATTAAAATATTTATCAGATCTGTACCCTCGTACTTTGAATGGTTTTCATTTCTCTCATGGTTTCGCTATGGTAACGAGGCTCTTCTGATAAATCAGTGGTCTGAGGTTGAAACGATTGCTTGCACACGAAGTAACGCAACTTGCCCTAAAAGTGGTCATATGGTTCTGCAAACATACAACTTTGACGAGGTTTGTGGTCATTCCATTCCATTAAATATTCACTGTGTGTCTTTACGGACTGAGTTGTTCTATATAGGTAATTTTATTAAATTATTTTTACTTTTTTCAGAAAGATTTTTGGGTTGACATCGTCGGTCTTATCGTCCTCATCATCAGCTTTCGGTTCCTAGCATTTTTGGCACTCTATTCAAAAACACTTCATAGATCTTCTAAATAATTTTTTTAATAAAAATTTTATATAATAATTCTTGTATTTTTATTAAATTTTTAATTAATAAAAAAATCACTATACGAAAAATTTTTTTAATATAAATTATAAAAATCTACTAATTTAATATTGTAAACTAGAAACCTTGCAGTCATTATGTGACTGCCGTGATTTGTAAACTATAAATAAATAAAATTTTGCTTTATTATAAATAATGACTTTTGTTAAATTACACTGTACCTTTTTAACTATAGACGTTTTTAAAGATATAAGCTCATCCCGATGTTACACTCATCAAGAGCTTTCATTTGAGTACCCACAAGCATTTTAATATATTTTTTATATATACATATATATAATATATATATAAATATATGAAAAATTGATGTGGGTATTTAAATGTAAGGTCTCGATGATTGTAATGTCAGGGTAAGCTTATATCTTAAAAAATATCAACATTTTACAAGATACAAGGTAATTTCTTAATTATGTTAAATTGAACTGTACTTTCTTAACTATTGACGTTTCTTTAAAATATAAGCTCATTCCGATGTTATACTCATCAAGAGCTTTCATTTAAGTACCCACATGCATTTTTGATATATTTCTCATATATACATATATATAATATATATAAATATATGAAAAAATGATGTGGGTACTTAAATGAAAGGTCTTGATGAGTGTAACATCGCGATGAGCTTAAATCTTTAAAAATGTCAATTGTTCACAAGATATTTATTAAAATGCCCTGTACTTTCTTAAATATTGACGTTTTTAAAGATATAAGCTCATTCTGGGGTTACACTCATCAAGAGCTTTCGTTTGAGTACCTACATGCATTTTGATATATTTTTCATATATACATATGTATATAATACATATAAATATATGAAAAATTGATGTGGGTACTCAAATGAAAGGTCTTGATGAGTGTAACATCGGGATGAGCTTATATCTTTAAAAAAGTCAATAGTTCATCAGATACAAGGTCATTTCTTAATCATGTATCTGGAGATAGAGCATTTTCGAATGCAGCCTAAATAGTTATCATCATAAATTGACTATCAGTGAAAATGATATGAAATCATGAAACGGCACAACTCCAGGTTAAGACTTTTCCAACGATACCAAATTCAACCATAAAAACCTATCTTATTATATAAATACACTGGCCACAAAATTTTGCTTATTCTCTTAATAATATAGATTATAAATTACAAGTATAAAAAATTTCTTGGTAATTATTTATATTTCAATAATTAAAAAAAGATAAAACAATATATTACAAAATAATGTAAAATTCCATCTACCTTTTTGATAATAACTTTTAAGTTCATGTACTAATGACATCATTTAATTAAAAAAAAATAAAACAGTCCTAAATAAAATTGATAATAGAAATTAATGAAATAAACTTTGGATACAATATCACAACTGACCTCTGCGCTAGTTTGAATAAAAAAACAAAAATATTCTTAGATAACAAATCAAAAAAAAATTTTTTCTGATTATCGAGTACCACAAGCTGTCTTGAAAGATTTAAAACGTAATATTCACCAGCGTAAGGAGTTTTATTTCCTGTCCGCAGGGACACAAGACCGCGTCGATATCGATGTCGTGACAAACCGGTTGATAGATACACCGTGCGACCGCTTCAAAGGGTTAAAAAAATATTTATTTGTCTCTATATGAAAACATACCGATGTACCAATGAAGTTACAAATCAAACTATCCCGATAGGAGTAACCTAATCATAGAACAGTGATTCGTAACTGATGGTTTTATTTGATATTTGATATCGTTGAGTTTTAAATTACGTCAGTGCATGCCAAGAGTTGCGAACGCGTAATTACCTTATTTATTTACACTTTGACTTTATAATAGATATTTTATCAATAGTTAATAGTTAAATTGTAATTATTGAAAAAAGTGATTAGTAAGTGTGATATTGATGTTAAACTATAAATAACCTATTAATTTATTTAATCTTAATCTTATAATTCTAAACAAGTGCTGATAATAATATTCATTTTTAATTTTTATACGATTATTAAAATTTTTAGTATGTTGATGGAAGATTAATCTATATTATTGAGAGAATAAGAAAGATTTTGTGTCCATTCGGATGGTCATATGATAAAATCGGTTTTTTTAGTGAAATTTAGTGTAATTTGGTGTAATTATATATAAATATATAAAATATATGAAAAATTGATGTGGGTACTCAAATGAAAGGTCTTGATGAATGTAACATCGGGATAAGCTTATATCTTTAGAAATGTCGATAGTTCATAAGATATTTATTAAAATGTTTATGTCAAAATATATTCTAATTTACAGTAGAAGGAAAAAAGTTTTACTTTAACCGAGAAAATTGCCCTCGTAAATTTTTTATTAGCCTGAAAGTTCTCTGAATTGAAAAAAAAAATTTTGTTCAATTAATATCATTAAAAGAATGAATCAAGATAGCCTCGTTTTTTGCTTCAAGTCATTGAATTACTATTTTTATCTTCTTAAATTGTTAATGATTTTGTAACAGTTTCAATTTCCATGGAGACATCGTTAAGGGGCCGCATTAACGCTAATAATTTGCATTTAATTGGAATGAGTCTCATTCACTTAAAGCTATCTCTTTTTCTTTTTATTTAGTTGAGGAGATACGTTAAAAGAGCACGACCGCTCTTCTTTCCTTCTGTTCAGTAAATATGTATGTATGTATGTATGTATGTATGTATGTATAAGTACGTATATAAACCAACTACTGATCGCCATCTTCCCCAATTACCGTGAAAGAGACTTTGCCGCTGTACCGATACCAGACAACAGTCACGCCAAATCTCCATTGATGCAATGCCTATAAATTGACGAGATCAATTTATGAAGAAAATATTTTATTTTATTGATTTAATTTATGTTTATGGGCTCAGTGTTTAATAAAATTTAATTTCACTTCCACTTAGGCTCAACGCCGTTATATTACAAAAAGGAATAATAACGTTCACCATGAGAAGGTTATTTGTTGATAAATAATTATCATTAGTATAAACTTTAAGAAAACAATGTATAATACCGTGTTATGCAATAAATTCTGACGGAGCATGAAAATTATAAATATAATATTTGTTAGATAATTCTTAACAAACTGAAAGTCATCAGTTGTACGTTTAAATATATATATGTATTATGTTATAACTTTATTTTTTTAATATGAAGTTATTTGTCATGTTGCAGTAAATCATTCTCGTGAGATTGTTTTTTTTATCGGTATTACATCACTTTTGAATGAGACGTAAGTTGTAAGTGGATGAAAAAAGTGGGGCTGTAACAGATAAAGGAATCAATACATGTTTTAAAAGAAAATTTCTATTTATTATGAATAATTGCTGTCTCTTAAAACATGACTATTTGTATTCAAAATTTAATGAACTGGTGTTGTAATAATAAAATAAGATTTATATCTCGACTATTATTCTTAATAATGTCACTTAAACAATTAATAACGACTGCAATATATTCTAAAAGTACTTATCTCAATTTTTCATGTCCAATTCTTTTCAACTTTTAAATTCGGAAACTTTTTTATTACGATAAGAATAACTGTAGCTAATATATTTCAACAAAACTCAACCGTGTGAAAAAGAATATAAATAAACTTGATATGTACTTGTCTTATAAATTTCCAGATAAGATGAAAAACTACCCAAAGTTTGAAAAAAAAAAAAAAAAAAAAAAAAAAAAAAAAGCTACAGACGTAAAAGTGTTGAGAAGTTGTTTATTTTAGGAAAGTTTAAACATAGCTCAAGATAAAATAAACTTTTTGCATTTAGGTGTTTTAAGCAAGCTGTCGTGACAGGCATAAACTGTTTAAACCATTTAATGACGGAATAAAAAAAACAAAGGAACTTTATGCCTCTCACTCACTGGCTCTTAACAGAAGAGTCAAGTACTCAGGTTGGATTATAAAGTAAAATTCAATTTTAAGACCTGCAATCCAATAATGATGTAAATGTCGGCATCTACAATTATCTTAATAATTCTCTTTTTCTCTGTTGGCAGAACAAATAGAGATATCTCATAGACAAGACTAATGTATAAGCACTAGATGCTGATCAACACAAATTATTAATAATGTCGAGTGATGCAGAATCTCAAGGATAAAGTAAGCTGTTTTGTAATCAAATCACAATCAGTAATAACTAAAAATTATCTCAGTAAATATTAAATCTTTAAAAATCTAAAATAACATGCTATCTTATTACTAATAACGTGTTTTGTAGATTTAATATTTCAAAGGAAAGTTTATATATAAACTCTGTATCATATTATTATATTAATAATTCAAGTTAGAGTATTAAATCCATCACAAATGATCATTTGGAAAATATCATTCGATAAATGATTCTCAATGAAGTGATAAACACTGTACTTTCACGCGCTACTTTCACTTCTTGACAGCTCGTCCATTTGACGTCCTAAATTGTTGACTCTTTACTCATCATCAAGATTTTATTCAGGATAAACTTTTTGCGTTCGAAGAAAAAAAAATAAAAGGGTCCACGAGTAGTAACCCGTGCAAAAAAAAATTCTGATTCAGAATAAATTTAAGATTGAAATTCAGATTTTGACACAAATATGAATTAGTTTTGAGATAATAATAATAATAGTTTATTTGCACTTGTAGTACCTTAGCTTTTAGCTATTTATATACATAATTATAAATTTAACATATACACAAATAATTATTTACAATCGTCGAGAACCTAATTTATCAAACATATTAACATTATCTTTAACGTATTGTCTAAGTAATCTTTTAAATATATTGAACCTATTTTCACTGGTAATTGCGATATCTAATTTATTATACCTTTTAAAACCTTTGTATATTAATGTTTTTTCAGTGGTGTGTATCCTCGTTCTTACTATTGCACGCCTCATAAGCGAAGCGTTGAGGTTGTGTTCTACTCTCGACATTTAAAAAAAAGCAGTTTTCTCGAAACTGAAAT